GGGTAAGATGGAGGAGAGAGATGGAGGGAAGAGGTCCACAGGGTAAGATGGAGGAGAGAGATGGAGGGATGAGGTCCACAGGGTAAGATGGAGGAGAGAGATGGAGGGAAGAGGTCCACAGGGTAAGATGGAGGAGAGAGATGGAGGGAAGAGGTCCACAGGGTAAGATGGAAGAGAGAGATGGAAGAGAGAAATGGAGGGAAGAGGTGCACAGGGTAAGATGGAGGAGAGAGATGGAGGGAAGAGGTCCACAGGGNAGATGGAAGAGAGAAATGGAGGGAAGAGGTGCACAGGGTAAGATGGAGGAGAGAGATGGAGGGAAGAGGTCCACAGGGGTAAGATGGAGGAGAGAGATGGAAGAGAGAAATGGGGGGAAGAGGTCCATGGGGTAAGATGGAGGAGAGAGATGGAGGGATGAGGTCCACAGGGGTAAGATGGAGGAGAGAAATGGAGGGAAGAGGTCTACGGGGTAAGATGGAGGTGAGAGATGGAAGAGAGAAATGGAGGGAAGAGGTCCACTGGGTAAGATGGAGGAGAGAGATGGAAGAGAGAAATGGAGGGAAGAGGTCCACGGGGTAAGATGGAGGAGAGAGATGGAAGAGAGAAATGGAGGGAAGAGGTCCACGGGGTAAGATGGAGGAGAGAGATGGAGGGATGAGGTCCACAGGGGTAAGATGGAGGAGAGAAATGGAGGGAAGAGGTCCACAGGATAAGATGGAGGAGAGAGATGGTTGGAAAAGGGCCACAGGGGTAAGATTGCAAGAGAGAGAGAGAGAGGGACATTGAGAAAAATGAAAAGCAGAGGCCCACAGGGAAGAGAGACTCACTCAAAGGTGTGTGCGTGATACACCTATAAATGTGTCTTAAACCATGAGTAGACACATTGTCTGTGTGCATTTAGCACACACATGGATAAGATGTGACCTCATACCACGTGTGATCAGTCTAGCCACAGCGATTGTGTCCAGCAGTAATCCAGATGATCCGTTTGGAGATCACAGTCCTATTGTCCACTCTTTGCTCCACCGCCTGCATATTGACCTCTTGTTCCTCCTTAAATCTGCTGGGAATTTTTCTGATGTCCTGAAAAACCCAGATAACAGCACTCTTTGCTGGAAAGCCAAAGACACACAAAAGCCTATACAAATGCACTACAAATGGCAATGTTGAATGAAGATGACTGATCCACAGATGAGACCGACCACTAAAAAAGACAATGTAATGAAAGAAAAGAGGCTGGAAGACCCAGGGTGGGTAGGATTGCCGCACGCTGTCAGTTATTGCTTCATTTATACCAACAGAAACCAATAAAATAACCAATGAGGTGTGGGTTATGCCAGTTGCTCACACTAATCAAAGACCCCATGTATTTTTAAAGCCTTGTTTGTGACGTCACTCACAGATAGCACCTTCCACAAATGCCACTCAGTATTTTAAGGCTTGGTCAGGTGTATATAAATTGTTTTGGCCCTGGATGTGGGTGTAAGTGTACAGCACATGAAAGTCAGTAAAGATTCTGTAAAGAATCAAGGATCAGAACCAAGATGGCCAGTTTTTGTACTCTGGATACATCAGGATCTGGATTTCCTGCTCATTCTTCTTCTAAGGGAAGAGCAAAGCCTTGTTGCTTGATGCAGTATGACCTATATTTATTTGTGCCTGCAGAATGCAGTGAGCAGTACATTTCAAACTGGGGCAGCAGATGTAGTAATTAAGACACCAAAGACACAAAAAATATTGTCCGTGGGTGAAGGATGTCATTGTACCCTCAAGCTGAACAGCAGGCCTGCAAGGTTCCTTCGTAAAATATCAGACCTTATGTATGAGCTGCTTTGAGTGAACTTTTCTCTACACAAATAATGCAGACTGTCCTACCGCAGTGATGTCGTACCTACCTGCCGACCCTGTTAATGGAAGGCATAGCTGTCTCAGCCAAGCAGTCAATATGCATATGGACCTACTGAAGTCTAGCATTTCTAGCCAGTTCCTAAGCAACATACTTTTTTTCCCAACCCCCAACTTTGCCTCCAGTTAAAATGTTGTTGCTGCTGCTATCATTTCTACAGAGTGAAGAGCACAAGAAAAAAATACATTATATATATATATATATATATGTGTGTGTGTGTGTGTGTACGTATAGACACGCACACACACTCCAGCTGGACAGTTGTCAGTCAGCATAGTGACACATCGTTCCTACCTGGCCCATTTCATTCTGTTTGAACGGCTGATATTAGAACTGATGTGATCATTGTCAACACCTCAAAGCAAGTCAGGCAGGCGTCGGAGGTCTTCCTAGCTCCCAACACGGCAGAACCCAACACGCAAAGCCCCCGCTGTGACACGATGTCCCACGCAGTCCAACGCGGCGTGTGCACACCCCCGCTCGGCCTTTCTGCACAAAACAGACAAGTCCCCTTGCTGCCCACCACCTCGACATGATGGAATTTCAGCGTCTCTCACCTGTAATTGCCTGGCAGTGCCAATGTTGCTGAAAGATGCCTGGCGAGACATTCCTGCTGGGTGGCGAATGAGGATTGTGGGTGGGTGTTGAGGGAAGGCGGCCACCATGCCCGCTGAGGGACGCTACGAAGCCCAAATTAAAACCTGCCCGGCAGGCTTAACGCTAACACAAAAACACCGTTTCATACAAGCCTTCTTAATACATGTAAGAGTGGGGGCAGACCTCCCATATGCAGCTGCCAGGGCCCCCCCCAAAAAAACAGGGGGCCTGTGAAGACAGAATTTTCTGAAGTTATATTTGTGGATAGGATTATTAAATTATACCAGCATGTGTGTTATTACGATTTTTAATAATAGTTTTCAGTATAGTTGCCCCTCCCACCCAGGCAATAATGGACTTTGAACTTTACTTGACCTCATTCGGGACCTCATTCAGGGTTGCCAAGTTTGGTCAGCTGGCTGGAGTGAGATTTTCAATTAGAGACGAGTCTGCACACGCATTTACATGTATGTAGCAGTTTTATTACCTTGTAAATAGTCTGTAGGGTTTACAAACTACCCCGATGCTTTGATGTAACTAATTTTAGGTTTATGAAGGAATAAAATATAGATTTGCTGTAAGATTTCTTGCATGAGCCTGAGAGTCTGAAAGTCTGAGTGTCACACCAGATACGTGAGAGTTGGCAACCCTGGCCTCATTCCCGTTTTCGCCCAGAGCGCCCAACAAGCGCACTTTGATATTCAAACACAGAATAACATAAGCAATCCACTCATCTCTGTTTCCATCTCTACCTCTTTGTCTCCTCTGCAGTCCAAGCCTCAGCTCGCAGGTCAGCCCTGAGCGAGGGCCTCTGGGGAAGTGGGGGCAGAGACCAGGAAACTGCTGGGAGAGCGAGATACAGGCGCTCCAACCAGTGCGGATCGGGGGTGCGGGGGGGGGAGGGGGTGCAGAGGAGGATCGTGTGGGTGGCCTGGTATCGGGGCAGAGCTGCCGCCGTGAGACTGTGGGACTTGGCGGCCAACCTGCTGTATCTAACCAACACAGCCACCCAGCCTGACCGACCACAGTGCTGTCAGTGCAGCCCAACCTTCACTCCTCGCAGCCACACTGATGACTGGTGGCCACGCCCCTCTCCCAAAAACGAGAGTCCACCTGAAGTAGAGAGATTTTTGGTGTTCCTTTTTGGGCTCTTGCTCAGGGCAGTACCAGATCCTGTTGGGTGTGTCGTTCCTGCGATTTTTCTCATCGAGATTTGATTTGTATTCCCGTTCTGCCTTGGTCGGCTCCATTGGCCGACCCTCAAGCTGTTCCGGATCCTCGCTAGCTCAGGATATCCAGACTGAGGAAGTGAAACACAGAGAAGTGCGTTGGGTTCTTCATCCTCCTTACTGAATAAGAACAAAAGAATCCTTGCTCTTCCTTGAGCAAGCAGGAGAAAGAAAGAATCTGCTAGGAGAAAATCTGAAGACTGATCTCCACACACATCTGTTTATCTGTTAACTTTCAATCACAGTCTTCCCACATCCGCCATCTCTCTGCACACCCTGCATGGCTCACTCAGGAAACAGACACCCCTGGAGAAGAGATGTGAGTGAAGGGGATTTCCACACGGAAAGCGGGAAGAGGAAAGGTTGTGGACTCACATCTGCTACGGAAATAATGACTTTGAACAGAGCTCCTCATAGACCACCTGCATTCTGAGGGCCTGAGACTGTGTCATTCTTTCCAGCAGGATAGACGGAGACCATGCTTGTATGAAGGGTGCAGATCTTTAGCTTCAAAGCTGTTCTAGAAGGGACGGTGGGAGACGGAGAAAGCAGAGGATAAAGTTAGGCCTTCTGAAGGAGGAGCTGGTAGATCAAGTCGTCACTCAGCCAATCGGGCCCAGGCTGTTTTCTCTGTGGGGAAGCGAAGGTGGGAGGGCTGGCTGGGATCAGCCAATGGGATAAGGGGGGCGTGGCCCTGTGTACCACGCAGCCCCGTGAGCCGGGGTGGGGGACCTGGGCCAGAGCTCAGAAATCAGGGGGGGGTAGACTGTGGTGGGCAGGTGGCGGGGGAGGGGTGGAGCGTGTGGGGTGGGGCAGCGGGGGCTGGGCCATGCGGTGCTCCCTGCGTACCTGGGTGCTGCTGGGTTCCCTGGCGCTCCTCTTCCTCACCTCGCTGCTCTTCTCCCTCTCGCTGCGCGGAGGTGGCGGCCTACCCTACTTAGACCCCCCCAGCTGGGAGGAAGCACGAAGGGTTAAACTCGTGCCCAGCTACGCCGGCTCCCACCGGCTCGGGCCACGGGGGGGCGCTCTGCCCAAAACGTGCGCCTGCCACCGCTGCGTGGGTGACCCGGGAGTGTCGGACTGGTTCAATGAGAACTACAACCCAGACATCTCGCCAGTTTGGACCCAGAACAACATCCAGCTGCCTGCCGACGTTTACTACTGGTGGGTGGTAAGTGGACCTTCTAAAACCGCCTCTTCCTCCATCTTCTCTTCTCACATTTTCTCTCCCTTGTTACTGTCCTTCTCCCCTAAGGTTTCCTCTCTTTAATGCGAGAATGAGTTAAATAATTTTCAGCATAGAGACACGCGTGCAGATGCAAACAAACAAGAAGATATGAAGTGTAGCCCTAGAGAAAGACAAGGACAACTGGGCTGGTAACACAGGGACAGGTAAGGCGCGGCTCTCGGAAAGAAGGTTCCGGAGGACCGGGAAGAGACAGGCAGAACACAAAGCTTTGGGTATAGGCATGCTCTCCAAATTCTGTTTCACATTAACCGTGACTCAGTAAGGTCAACAGGAACATTTGCAAAGAGTTAGCCGTTCGAGCTGTGCCAGGCACTCCTCAGAGTGATGGCGCCCAGATACTGGCACCCGGCGGGTGGACGGTGTGGCACTCGCGGTCGGGAGGGTAAAGTAACATGGCAGTATTTCAGCTTGTGCGCTTAATCACACCATGAAAGAATATGTTTCCTGTATAGATTGGCTGTGTGACCATCTTACATTACATTGTATTTATTCAGCAGACACTTGTATCCAAAGTGATGTACATTTCTTAAGAAAGCAGGGCCAGACAGTCTCTGGAGCAATTGAGTGGTTAAGGGCCTCGCTCAGGGGCCCACTGGTGGAATCATTCCACCAATTCTAGGATTTGAACCCACAACCTTCTGATCACAGGCTGTGTCCTAACCCACTGAGCTACACCACCCCCGTCTTACAGAAGTTCACAAAGCTGATGGGAAACCAGAACTGGCAAGATACCTGTCCAGCTTGGCCCCAGTCTGTATTTGAAAGTCACATTGCTGTCTAATTTTCCTCTTTGCGGATAAAATGGCATATTGCAGTGCAATCATGTTGCACCCACCCACGGCAAAATGGATTTATCTCCTTTGTGAAGTCACGGGCCACACTTGGACTGGACCCAAACCAGCCTGACTGCCTCCCCCGCCCCACCCCCGCTCCGATTGCAGATGCTGCAGCCGCAATTTAAGCCCCACAGCATTCAGCACGTGCTGTCGCAGCTGTTCCAGGTGATCCCGGGAAACTCACCTTACGGCTCCTGGGACCCGGGACGCTGCCAGCGCTGTGCCGTGGTGGGCAACTCGGGCAACCTGCGCGGCTCCGGGTACGGGCACGCCATCGACGGCCATGGCTTCATCATGAGGTCAGTGGGCAGAGAGAGATATGGCTGTGTGCGTGTGTGTGTGAGTGTGCGCATGCGTATGTGTGTGTCTGTGTGTGTATGTGAGTGCGTGTGTGTGTGTGTGAGTGAATGAGCGGTCCCCATAAGGATATGTTTACCCTACACGTGTGTGTGTGTGTGTGTGTGCGTGTGCGTGTGTGTATACCCACTTTTCCAACATACCCACCATCACATAAATGTTCCCTAATGTTCCTTTTTTTACATGTTACTGCTGGAGCTTCTTAAAACAACAATTAACGTTATGTTTTGCATTACAAGAGCACATGCAGGTGAAACACTGTACATTGGTGGCTTAACTTAATACCAGGGGTCAATAGCATGGCGAATATATTTTTACCAGGGACATGGTATTTAAAAACGTAGCCTACATAGTTTTTTTTTTCTCTCAATCAAAACATTTTGACACAGGCACATATGTGCGTATACGGATAGGCTGATGATCCCTGAACTGTATACAATAACAGAAAAATTTATATTAAAATAGTGCTCAGACCCACATGCATTTTTGTACTTGGCAAGATGGGAAGTCCGAAGCCTCGTTCCTTGCCTCCCTGGAGAGGCTACTTCTGTAAATAACGAGAGCATGAAGTCTGAGCAGCACAGAATGGCGGAAAGACAACTGGCTCTGGGTGGGGCCCCCTCAATACAGCCAAGAGCCCACCCAGGTCCACTGTCATCTGCAGAACCACCGTTTGTTCTGGAAGCCCATGGATTTTTGTGTGCGTGTCACTACTGAAGTGATGTATGGAAGAGCGTTCTCTATGTGCGTGTGTGTGTGTGTGTGGGGGGGGGCAGGCGAGTCTACCCGATCTGAAGCAATCTCAGCTTCCACCCTCCTGCTCTCTCGCACACAGACCAGCACACCATGGCTGTGTGAGAGGAAGCAGTGTCATGCACGGTTGTTTGTGTCTGTGGGTAAGAGAGCATGAAAATGTGGAAGAGGTCAGCGTGTGTGTCTATGTGTGTGTGTGTGTGTCTCTCAGGCTCTGCATTGTTCTCAGGCTCTAAATGAGATTGGAATATGTGGGAGGATACATGAGAAATATAAACACACTGCAGAAGCAACCCTATCGTGAGGCCCCCTGTGGGGTCCTATGTGGGCTGGCTGAGCCGTCTACCCACTTGCCTGTCTGTCTGTCTGCCCGCCTACCCACCTGCCTGAGCATTTCTGTCTCTGCTTCGTGGCGGGCAGCCGCCTGTCCCCACGCCAGCAGGTAGTGTCATCGATCTAGCAGCCATCCTGTCTCTCCTCCCATCAGGATGAACCTGGCGCCCACCGTCGGGTACGAGGACGACGCCGGTAGCAGGACCACCCACCACTTCATGTACCCCGAGAGCGCCAGGAACCTGGCCACCAACGTCAGCTTTGTGCTGGTGCCGTTCAAAACGCTGGACCTGCTGTGGATCACCAGTGCACTGTCCACCGGCCAGATCCGCTTGTGAGCATTCAAAGAAAAAAAAAAAAGGTCGCCAATTTCATCACGTAACAACAACCGCCACCTGGCTCATAGTGTCTCGCACATTTACGGCTCTGCAGGCTGCTGCTCCTCCATCCCATTCAGGTCTCCATGACAACCTCCAGACATGAAAGTGACGCATGTTGTTACACAGTGAACGTACCCTTATACTAGGGGAGTAACGCAGTCGAGTGGAGGCCTATCAGAAATCCATGAGGCCTCCCTCCCTGACCTCCTGTTCTCTCTCTCTCTCTAGCACATATGCTCCTGTGAAGCAATTCCTGCGCGTGGACAAGGACAAGGTACCCCTCCATCCCACAGTGACTCACTTTGTTTTTACAAGCCATGTTGAGCAGCTTTGTTGGCCACTCAGTCACTCCCTGCTTTCATCTGCCATTGGGGAGTTTGCTTACTGGCCTGTCACAGCCACAGAGTTCCATTGAGCATGTACAATGACAATAAAGACATTCTGTTCTCAATAGCATAGGAGAGAGTTTGATATCAGGGGGAGTACATGCCTCTCTGTCCCCTCCCACCCCCCAGTTTCTACGACCTTGTCTATTCTATTCTGTCACCAGGTTCAGATCTACAATCCAGCCTTTTTTAAGTACATCCATGACCGCTGGACCCGGCACCATGGCCGGTACCCCTCCACGGGCATGCTGGTCCTGTTTTTCGCTCTGCATGTTTGCGACGAGGTGAGATACACCACCGTCTTTGTTCCTCACACTCATTCACCCACTCCTTCACGGCACAGATTGGTGTAAATTGGCCACCCCCCCCCCCCCTCCCCTCTCTCTGGACAGGTTAATGTATTTGGCTTCGGTGCTGACAGCCGAGGGAACTGGCATCACTACTGGGAGCAGAACCGCTACTCCGGGGAGTTCCGGAAGACGGGGGTCCACGACGCCGACTTCGAAGCACACATCATCGACTCGCTGGCGAAAGCAGGCAAGATCACTGTGTTCCCCGGGAAATGAAGGTTAGGGGGGGGGCAGCGCGAGGGAGACAGGAGCACCACAGTTTACGAGTCACCTGCACCCACCCATGGCGGCAAATTACCGAGGATCAGCCGACTGTGACCCAGCATGGATCCAAAAAGTCAAATCTGACGGAAGGGAGTGTCCTGGGAGCCTTAGGATTCACCCCATCAGGAGCTCCTGATGATCCTACCTGAAGTAGACTTGGAATGGTGAAGACAAACACACTAGAGACTGTTGGAGAAACAGAAGGAAGGCTGGCTGGGATCAGCCCCTCCTTGTGGCAGACTGGGGCATAGGCACGTAGTTTCACTGGAGATGAAGGGCTCCAGTTAACAGTGACTGACAGTCAGTCAGATACGCCCTCTACCCAACTCGGCGATGACTCATTGAACCACAGGAGGGCTCCCTGAACACAGAGTCTCAGTCTACAGAAAAGGACACGTTTGAGATTGACACAAAACCCTCTTAACTTTGCAGCGTTCTCTGTTAGGTACCATATAGACATTGACCTGCAGCTGTACAGAAGAAATTTAATTGTGACAAGGTAGAAGACTGGGGGGAAGGAGCTGGGTGGACAAGGAGGACATTTATATTATCGTTAAGAAGACATTCCCCCTACAATGAAGGGAAAATCTATGCTGCTACATGCTACCCTCATCAGTCCAGATGACAGTATTATTCAGCTCATTTGTCTGGAGTCCCATCATGCCCCACTCGCACCCCTCAGAGGTCAGAGGTCACGTCTTACTGCCGACGGTGTAGCTGGGGGGGAGGGGACATTTGTGGGGTAGCCATTTGCTTTCTTTGGCAAAAAGACCCAAACACATTGGTCTCTCCCTCCGGCTGCAGTCTCGGATATATTTGTTGCTTACAGATCCGCCGAACAGATGGACTGAGACGATGGAAGCGCTGTTATGGTGACGGATACACACACATACGTGCGAGCGCGCGCACACACACACACAATAACACACGCACGTAGCTGCGCTGTTCACTGTGACAGCTCATATCTCTCACACACACTCACCTGAACAGACAGCGACTCTTCATTATCCTTTTAAATAAAAAAAAAAACAGCGCAGCTGTTCGACAGGCAAAGCTGTGAGGGGCAGTGAATTACTGTAGCCATTACAATGCAGACTTACAATGTGAATATTAAGCGGTAACGCTGTTAACATGTTCCAGTTACAGCACGTAAACGCGAACAGAGTGCAAACGAAATGGACTGGAGCGCAATGCCCAATGAGCAAGCAGTCTAACAGAAATGCAAATTAACGCAAATCGTCGTTAATTTAAAGACGACGTTCCTACTGGCTGACTGGGAGTTGTGCGCCTGCCGCTGTACGGAACAAACCCAACCTCATATCCTGCTGGCACATATTAGTGTAGAACTTGTGAAGTTTTCTTTTTCCTCTGGAGCCCGAACTGGAGGCATCGTGATATTCTGAGGTAGCAATTTGTTTTACATTTGTTCATGTTATCAGGGTTGATTTTGTGCCCTTAATAGCTTTGTGTCGATGTGACATTTGAATACGCTGCCAGGGTCATGTCGGCCTGTCAGCTTGTCTCCCCACTCCACCCACGACCAGCCACTGTGGGGACTTTGACAGGCAGGAGAGACCCCAGCCATTGTGCGAATGGGATTGTGGAACAGGAAGGAAATGTCAGACTGACATATATCCAGCTACCGCTTGCATAAGTGGCTTTGAGCCCCGTGGTGAGAGCGGGATTTACTGAGCACCGTCGCTCGCTGCCTGGCTAACCGCCCCCCCCTCAGTGATCATCTGATCCCCTTTGTCCCGCATTTCCCCACAGACAGCGTTAAAGTCCACCTTCCCCATGCTGGCGTCACCTCTGACCAGTGGAGTCGCAATCATGTTTCTATATTCCTGATACTTCCTTTTCGACTAAATGAAAACAGAACCCCAGTAAGGACTACTCTTGTGTCCCATTTCCCCTACCAGGTGTCGTTCAGGAGACTGATCGTGTCGGGTCACAAGTCCGCGAACCATCTCCCTACTGTAAACCTTCAGGCATCACGTTTTGGGTTTAAATCACCGCCCAGACTCGCAGACTCATCTACCCGCTGCTTCCCGCCACGGACGTGTAGACGTCGCTCGCTCGCTCGCTCGCTCGCTCTAGTGCCTTGTCTTCCTCGCGGCAAATCCCTGACCCTCCCACGCGCACCCGCCTGCTCCGCAGCCCTCTTTTTTTAAGGGGTGGGGGGTTGCCACAGTGTGTAACCCGTACCGCTTCAGCTGTGCCAGGAGGACGCGAGAGACGCCGTCCCACAAATCGCTGCTGCCTCCTCCAGAGGCCCACACCAACCACCTCACCTCCGCCCCGCTCGCTAACAGAAGGTAACCATGACAACGCTGTGCCTTTACGGGAGTGACTGTCGTAACTGCTGTGCACGCTGCTCCGTCTCCTTATACTACGAAAACATCGCCAAGATAAAGTCAGTACCGTGAAAACGTAATATCATATCACTGACAAAGCCTGCAGTCATTAGGTCTTAGCTCGCTGTGCCATTTAGAAGTACACTTATAACCGTAGTGTTCTGTCTGTTCACCAATGGAGGATTTTACATGCGTTGAGAAATAGTGATCTGGGAAATTTCCCCAATCAAAACATATATAGAACATTTTTTTGCAGAAGGAGCTTAATGATTAAAATAACGTGCAATATTTCACCAAAGAATTTTTCTCCCAGTATTATTTTTCACACCCTTTTTAATCTTAATTTGTTCCAGTTGAAATATTAAAGACACGCCTGTCAATCAGTGCAGTATCTATAGCTTTAAAAGAAAAAAAATCCTGAAGAATTCTTAGCCAGTTTACAGTAGAGCTTAAGATTGATTCTGTGGAATGCAGGGCCGTCCCAGATCGAGCTGGACCAGTAAACCTTCCATTCCATTCTGATCTCTAAATCCCGACCCTCAGCATGCTGATCCCACCCCCATAGCATGTTGGTGCCGTCTCACCTCCACAGCTCTGTGGCAGGTGCCTGTGGAAACCATGCCCCCTACTGGAGGCTTTCAGAAGCTGCAAAAGGTAATATCCGTGTACATCACGAGCCAAATTTATCAAGCTTCTGCGTTACCCAGTTCCCTCTGAGGATTGAGGGGAATTTTTTTTAAACAGTAACCTCCAAGCTCCTTCTAAGTCTTAATTAATTTTCTAATCATCTTAAGTATATGTTTCAAAGTTTTATTACTGAATGGTGGGGGGCGTGTACACTTTAACAACCTTCTGCATCACAGATACACAACAGCCTGATTTTGTCAGGTCTTTGGTCCAGACCAGGATAAGGGGCCGGAACATGGAAAAATGGATGGATGGCTTGTGTGTGGGATCCCCAAACAGAGATGAGGGATGTGGTCTTACCTCATAGGGAAGGGTCCCTTCCGGTTCTTTGGGGATGAAGAGAGGTACTGTGGGTGGCTTCCCTCAGGTCCTCCAAATCAGCATCACAAGCAGTTTCACATAGTATGATCACCAGACAGCCCATCCCAACCCCCCCCCCCCCCGGAATCTGTATATAACCACACTAGGTGTGCGGCTTTTGTGTCACTCCTCCCCCAGCCATTAGCAGTTGCTCTTTGTCAGTCTCCTCTCTCCTTTTATAACCATGACTTTTCTGTGACAAGACTTTTTATCTACTGCTGTTGTGAAAATAAACACAGAACTGAAAGAATGCAGTGGTGCCATTTGTTTTCTTTTAACACTTTACATTTAAAAGTTGTAAGTTCAGAGCAAAACAAGTTTAAGTTAAAAAAAAAAACAAAAAACAAAAAAAAAACTGGTAGTCACCTTACTTTAAACTCCAAAAGCCAATTTCGGTTCTATGTTTAAAGGGCAACCCACCCTTCTGCCAAATCATATTTTGGTATTTACTGGGAAAGTACAGATAAATATTCATTTGGGGCATGAAACATGATAACGGAATGTTTAAAATAGGATCTACAAACATCGCAGGTCAATTCACACTTATTTTTAGACAGGAGAGAACCAGCTTCACTGCAGTGGGTTTTTCCACTTGACGTCTAATTTGGGTCATGCAATATAAAATACTGAGGTCAAATAAACAAGCAGAAAGATGATTAGGATCAAGATCTGAGCAAAAGACTGCATAACAAGCAATGCAGAGAGATTCACATTTCTATGCTTTATTCAAGTGTCACTGACCCAATCAAAGGAAGCAGGCATTTTATACAACAGTGATCAGACAGTCCATCTACACGACTGACACATTGAGTGTGAGATTATGCACTGAGTGGCAGGACCCCGATTTAACAGCGCAGGACAACGACCTGCATGCAGCCAGCTGTGGGAGAGCCGTCCTACAGACAGGACCAGGTGGGTGGGGGGGGGGGATGCGGGCATTTTGGTGTGACTATAGGGCGGCTCAAATGGGGCTCAAACATCTATGCTGGCAGGGAAGTCCTATGGCTATTCTCTTTAGATTAATTTAAAATATTTATTGTACAGTTTCCCAGGGCGTGTAAGAAGGCTTTACTCACACAAAAAGAAAGTTGCTGGCAGGGTAGCGAAGCAGCTTGATAAAACCCACCCCCCACCCAGCTCCATGACACCCCATTTTACCTGAGGAGTGTCAGAACTCCTGTAAACATCATCTGCGGAGTCCCAGCCAGAGTAACCACAGCAGCTGGGCCCCCGCCACCCCACAAACCCCTGGCCCATCCCGTCTTAATTCTGAAGATCCAGTTTCAGGCGGGCAAAAGTGTCAGCCAGTTCCAGCGCCTCCTGCAGGCAGTGCATATTCCGGCCGGTCGCCTGGGCGGACGTGTCCTTGCCGCCACCCTTTCCGTCCAGCAGAGGGCAGACTTCCTGTACCCATTCGCTGGCCTTCAGGCCCTGATTCGCTGCCTCCTAATGAGGGAGAAACAGACAGAATGAGAGCGACTGGTCTGGCTGCCCACTTATGATTAGTCATGTGACACCTGTCAGTGTCAGTCAGGGGGTCTCAAACTCAAGTTAAATGACCCAATTCAACCTCAAGTAGGCCAGACCAAGAACATCTAGATAGTAGGCTGACATGTTTTTTTCATTTATGCAAGAAGCAGGACAGCAATGCCAATTCTGAATCCACAAAGAAGCTGATAAAATCACAGACATGATAAAACAGGCTACAATGCACAAGTATCAATGGTTCCCCCCATTTAAGCTGCCCCTACTGCTACAGGTCATTAATCAAAACATGACTAGTGGCATAAGGCACAATAATACTATCTGGGAACAAACTGAGACGCTTCAGTTAAACCTCAGCTGGCCGTGACCCCGGTTACAGTGAGGCAGCCGGTTACAGTGAGGCAGCCGGTTACAGTGAGGCAGCCCTATAGAGCCATTCAGCGCAGTCTATGCAGTTAATCACCTTACAGTTATTGACTGAGTAGTGATTGAAGAAAACTCATAAAACAGGTAAGACTGTGGTCCCCCCCCAATGGAAAATTAGAAAAAAATACCTGCAGTTCTTTTCTAATAATTAATTTACAAAGTCCTATATTACAATGCATATGTATTTTCAGATCATTGCTGCAGGCTGTAACGATGAAGGTTGTAACGATTACTGTCAATTAATCTCCTCACCACATGAACCACAAATCAATCAACGACCATAATGACTGTTATATAAATAGCTGATCATTTGCAAAAGGGACAGACACACAGAGACAGACACAGACACACAGAGACAGACACAGAGACAGACACAGAGACAGACACAGAGACAGACACAGAGACAGACAGACACAGAGACACACAGAGACAGGCACACAGAGACACACAGAGACAGACACACAGAGACACACACAGACACAGAGACAGACACACAGACACACAGAGACAGACACACACACAGAGATACACAGAGATAGACACACAGAGACAGACAGACACACAGAGACATACAGACACAGACACACAGAGACATACAGACAGACACACAGAGACAGACACAGACACACAGAGACACATACCTGGGGCACTTGGCACAGGCAGATGATCTTGCCGGCATCGTTGTCAACAGTGAAGAGCATAGCAGCTGTGCTGGGCGAGTGGCTCTTCAACAGCTTCAGAGACTCATTCAGGGCCTGTGGGTACATAAGGCACAGTGCACACACACACACACACACACACACACACACACACACACACACACACACACACACACACACACACACACACACACACACACACAGACACAGACACAGACACGCACACACACATACACACACAGGGTGAACTCCAGGAGAGGTCCACGAGCCAAGGCTCATGCAGAGCTGTCCTCACACGGCGGGTGGAGCAGATACCTTTGCAGAAGCTCCGCTCTCCATCTCCATGACCAGCAAGGGCTGGTTGGGGTTGCTGTCGATCACCTGCTTCGTCTTCTCCAGCACCTGAGGAGCACCAGGTACCGACGGTCACGACCTAAAGCACCATGAAGTGCCCCTCACACTAAACAGGGCACCGACAGAACAGTCCCAGAAGTACCAAAATAGCCAGATGGTGACATTTTCACCACCTAGATAGATCCGCTGTCAACAGACAGGCAGCACAGAAAGTTGACTTTCGATAACTAACCTCATTCCAAGACTCTTCAAAAAAGAAAAAAATCCAGCTGGCCCCTATAGACCCAACAGACAGGCTGTTTGAACAGGGTCACCTGCTGTGAGCTGGGAAACACGGGTGTCAGAAGGGGGGGGGGGTGCCAGGGCCACTCCAAGGGCCTCTGACTGGGTGGGGCCCTAAAGAATTTGGAAAATGATTGGATAGCGGGCCCAATATGACAGGTTCTCATCTGTAGCGGCGCCCCCTGCTGGGAGGATAAATGAGGGGACAGTGGAGGGGGGGATGTTTAGGGCTTCTGGGGGGCCCTTTGCCGTGTTTCTCTGAGCTTCAGATTTTTTTCGGATCCCCATCAGTTGCACCTTCTTCAGTTAAAGAGTCCCGTTCAAATTTGTCCATTACAGCCTCCTCCAGCTTCACAGCTCCCCCCCCCCCCAATGAAAGCTCACCCTCTTCTGCACGTCAGCCTTGCTGGCACGGTCCAGATCATCCATCATCTTCTTCAGTCCCTTCAGTTCCTCTCGCATCTCGTCCTTCTGCCACTGGGAAGTCACAGCGGTGCCCAGGGACTACAACAGGGGGAGAGCGAGGAGTGTCACACACACACCAACCGCATCTGACTGGGACACGCAAGGCACTAAAACACACCAACCGCATCTGACTGGGACACGCAAGGCACTAAAACACACCAACCGC